CCTCTCCCTCTGTTATTGTTTGGGGTTTTTCAGCTATGGAAAGATCTTCTGCAATGCTTTGAAATTCGATTAAAAATTAGGAAGGGTTTGGGGTTTTGTTATTGTAGGGGGTAAAACAACAAGGCTGGCTTCCCACATCCTCTCCCTCTGCGTCCCCGACACATTCCACATCCATGCGGTAACGCCTTTTAACCAAAACCAGCAGGTCACGATATGCCAGCGCAGTTCCCTTGTCTGAAATGCAATGTTGTTACTTTATATACCTATTGCTTCACGCATTGCCCACACACGCATGGCCTTATCAAAGGCCAAGCCAGCCACACACCCAGTTTCTATAGCCACTGCCTCCTCTGTATCCAAGGAGATAGAATACACAAGGCGGAAACAATGACATCACTCTGTGAGGATGAGGAGGACAGGACAGGCGCTCTCAAGAAGCCTTGGGAAGACAGAAGTGGCTGTCTGTCTCTGTCATCCCACAAATACCATGATTCACCTCCAGAGCTCCTCCAGCTGCATGTCTGGAGGTTACTTCTCATTTAAAAAGACCCAAAACATCCTCAGGTCTGAAAGCCCATATCTTCTTCTTGAGAAGAGCTGATCTATCCATCTCAAACCAAGAGTTTTCACTGACATATTTGAGGGGTGATGTTAATACTTATACCTCGCTGCAAATGGGGTGTGTGGCCTTCAGGGAGCTGGATGAGCTTTTTTGGAGACAGTCCTGGTGTTGACTGCCCTTGAAGTTGGTCTCTTTCAGCTCATTCCCTACATGAGCTCACTCAGGTCAAACAGAGTCCTAGGCCCCATTGACCTCAACATCCTACAAATACAGCGGGGAAAAAAAAAAGATAACCTTCTCCCACAGAGCCCGGGTCTGACAAGACACAGCACAGTCTGAGGGATAAAGTTTTATTACTTATTTTATTAAGGGGCAATACAGCCACACACAACAGCGCATGTGTAGTGGAGGGTGTCCCTGCCCATGGCAGGGGGGTTGGAACTAGATGATCTTTGAGGTCCCTTCCAACCCAAACCATTCTATGATTCTATGGGTTCGGAGCTTAATGCCTGGCCCAGGGTCAAAAGAGAACATGGCTGAGTCTGAACCATTCTCGTCTCTGGTCAGTGTCATAAGCATTAAAATTACCTTAGTCACCAAGTAACTTGTTCTCTCTTGCTGTAATCACTTTTCTCATAAAAAGGTTAAGCAGAAGGGAGAGGCAGACGTGTTATTTTAATCTTTCTCACTGCGGTGAGGAAAAGCTCTTGATGGGAAAATGTCACTGAGCAATCGCCCTTCGGATCTGGGTGAGAAGTGCAAGTGAAATAACTGAGTAAATATACTAAGACGACTGTCATTTCCTTTGCCTAACGTTGCCATGGTCACACCCAAAACAAAGCTGGCTCAGCCACTGAGCCATCACCACCGACAAGCTGCTGCACCTTTTGATGAAACGTGATTCTGTCATCGCTCTTGCCTCAGTTTAAATTAATTTAGAAGGATAAAGATAATGACAATGAAATAATAATAAGGCTGTAGCTCTTTCATGGGCAAAGGTCGGCTTAGACAATGAACTCAGTCTTGGGATTCAGGACTTCAGAGAATGCATGGGAGGTTGTAGAATGCCTTTTTATTTTCCAAAGGCACATAACAGTATCTTGAACTTGCATTCCAAGTAAGGGAAAATACTTCCACAGGACAATGCAGCATTTCAACAAGTATCAGCCTCCAAAAGGATTACAGAAATAAACAGTCTATTTCAAATGGGGTAATGTGTAAGCAGTGATCTTAAAATATGTATCTAGTCATACAGTTCTTCAGACAAATGAAAACTAGTTTCTTCTGCAAGATCTTTTGCAAAGATCTAGTTATTTAACTGCACCGATAAAACGGGAAGAGGAAAAGAAAGTGGACAAGTGGTGTGAGAAATTTCAGTTAAGATATTGAAAGTAGGAGAGGCAACATCAAACTACCTAATTCTAAGAAAGGTGGAAACCTATTTGAATAACTGCAGTCCAATTTCTACAGCAAGTGTTTTACAGCTTTTTTTTTTTTTTAGCCTAAAGTAAGTCTATTCACATGTATGATTACATTTCTGCATTCAAAGGGCTGTATGCAAAACCAGAAAGAAAAATTGTCAGAGGACCCTGGATCAGGACTGAAATGAACCACTTGGACTCAGTATGTCCTATTTTCTTTGCTAAGTGAATTAGTAAGTGTTCTGCGCAAGACTGTTGCCAAGGAAAGCAAATATCTTGTTTTCACTGGCGAGCAAGTTAAAAAAACCTGAACAGCTCAGTGCTGCCTTCGAAGATTTGGCTTTGCTCACAACTTCTACCAATCCTATTGGAAAAATGAGATCAGCATCCTTGTGGTAAAATTCATAGCAGTTTGCCATGCTCGTATATATAAGCACAGCATCTTTGGCACTCTGCTGCTCCTGATTTGCAGAAAGCCTGGCTGAAATCCCTGGTGATGCTGCAAAGACACAGCCCCAGAGCAACTCGGCCGACGCTCACCACAGCTCTGGCCAGAGTTGGCATGCTCTGCTGATTCCATGCTCCAAGCAGACAGACCTCACCACAAACCTTACTTGTTGCAGTCAGCTACTGAAAAAGGAAATGGGTGTGTATTTAAAAAAAAAACAAAACACACAAAACCAACACAAACCCAAAAACCTTAGAACTTGATGGTGTTGGTGACACTTTTCTCTGGCACACCAGACTAAGATGTTGAGGCACTGTTAAGCAGTAAGAAGAAATGGGAGCTTGTGGTTTGGAGACATGATACATCTTCCCTGCTGAATTCCTCTGAGTACACGGCAGGCAAAGCCCTTTAAAGGAAAGTCCCATGCTCTGAAAAACAGCGAGCTTCACTCACACAGGCAACCGCAAATGACTTAATTGGCTTCATTTTACGGAAGGGAAGAAGAAAGGCAAGACTTCTGTGAGAGCCTGAATGTTCCTTTTACACCAGGAAATAACTCTTCCAGTATCAACCATCACAAGGGGTCAAAGCCTAATTTTCAGGCAACAGTTGCTTCCTAGCTCAAGACTAAGACAAGAGTCACTGCTCCGAGACAAAGTTTCTAAGAGGAATATCTCCACAGACAGTTTCTCAGCAAATTCTCCTGCTGAAGTCAGTTACAGGTGAGTATAAACACATTCAGTTGTGCCATGCTTACAAACTGGCAGCATCAAGCTATCTATAGAGCTAGAACCAGGATTAGGACTAAGGTTAGGATTTAGGAGGGGATGTGCTCCACTGCCAGGATTATTGCTGAATCCTGAAGTCTGACCTTATGTGATGTCCTGTACTTGGATTTTAGAAAGCAGGGCATGACTTGTAAGTCAAAGACTGGAGTGAAGGTTAGTCCCTCTCACCTGTGTTTCTTACTGAGTTGCAGCAGGCTCCCTGAAACAGTCCAGGGCTGACACACAAACACTCCACCCAGAGGGCAGTTGACTAAAGGATAGCTAATGATTAGGGTGAAAACTGCCATAGCAAATGAGTTTAGGAAAGAGGTGGCACTAGTTAATTAAAATAGTCTATTTTTAGCACTTGACTAGCAGTGGATATCTACCCAGTGACCCAGGAAGGACTGGGGGGAAAGTGGGGTGGTAGGGCAGCTAGTGGCAGGTGGGTTGCAGCAGCAGGTTTCTTGTTGCAGTTAACTAAGCTTAGTGAGCTACATTAAACTCCTGCTTGGCATGTGTAGTGCCCTATGTTTAATGCTGGGGCATTTAGCTAAATTCTGGTTAATGGCTGGGTTAGGGACT